TGGAACAGAATAGAGAGCCCAGAAATGGACCCTCAACTCTATGGTCAACTCATCTTTGACAAAGCAGGAGAGAATATCCAATGGAAAAAGGACAGTCTCTTCAACAAATGGTGTTGGGAAAATTGGATAGCCACATGTAGAATAATGAAACTGGACCATTTTCTTGCACCAATCACAAAGATAAATGGTTGAAAGACCTCAATGTGAGACAGGAATCCATCAAAATCCTAAAGGAGAACACAGGCAGCAACCTCTTTGACCTTGGCCACAGCGACTTGCTAGACACGTCTTCAAAGGCAAGGGAAACAAAAGCAAAAATGAATTATTGGGACTTCCTCAAGATAAAAAGGAAATAGTCAACATAACTGAAAGGCAACCTATGGAATTGGGAGAAGGTATTTGCAAATGACATGTCAGATAAAGGGCTAGAATCCAAGATCTATAAAGATCTTATTTAGTGCAATACCCAAAAGACAAGTAACCCAGTTAAGAAATGGGCAGAAGACATGAATAGACATTTTTCCAAAGAAGACATACAGATGGCCAACAGGCATATGAAAAGATGCCCAACATCACTCATCATCAGGGAAATACAAATCAAAACCATGATAAGATGCCACTTCACACCTGTCAGAATAGCTAAAATTAACAACACAGGAAACAACAAATGTTGGTGAGTTTGGGGGGGAAGGGGAATCCTCTTACACTGTTGGTAGGAATCCAATCTGGTACAGCCACTCTGAAAAACAGTATGGAGATTCCTCAAGAAGTTAAAAATAGAACTACCCTATGACCCAGCAATTGCACTACTGGGTATTTATCCAAAGGATACAAACATAGTGATTCAAAGGAGCACATGCACCCCAATTTTTATAGCAGCAATGTCCAAAGTAGCCAAAATATGGAAAGAGCAAATTACATATCAGATAAAGAACTTATTCAGCTCAACACCCAAAAGACGAGTAATCCAGTTAAGAAACGGGCAGAAGACATGAATAGACATTTTTCCAAAGAAGACATACAGATGGCCAACAGACATATGAAATGTCTTCTCAAAGATGAATGGATAAAGAAGATGTGTATATATATATACATTGGAATATTACTCAGCCATCAAAAAGAATGAAATCTTGCCATTTGCAATGATGTGGATGGAACTAGAGGGCATTATACTGAGTGAAATAAGTCAGTCAGAGAAAGACAAATACCATATGATTTCACTTACATGTGGAATTTAAGAAAAAAACAGATGAACATAGGGGAAGGGAAAGAAAAATAAAAGAAGATGAAAGCAGACAGGGAGGCAAACCGTAAGAGACTCTTAACTATAGGGAACAAACTGAGGGTTGCCGGAGGGGAGAGGAGTGGGGGGATGACGTAACTGGGTGATGGGCATTAAGGAGTGCACGTGATGTAATGAGCACTAAGTATTCTGTGCAACTGATGAATCACTAAATTCTACTCCTGTAACTCTGTGTTAACTAAGTTGAATTTAAATTAAAAAATTTTTTAAAAGTTAATTTCCAGTTCCAGTTTCACAAGCATGATTCATAGACTTCTTCATTTGGTGAGTTCATATGGCACAGCGCAAGTGGATTCTCTGCCTGGGAGGTCAGATTCAATAATGAGCCTAAATAGGGGCGCCTGGGTGGCTCAGTTGTTAAGCGTCTGCCTTCGGCTCAGGTCATGATCCCAGGATCCTGGGATTGAGCCCCGCATCAGGCTCCCTGCTCGGCGGAGAGCCTGCTTCTCCCTCTCCCAACCGCCCCCCCCCCAACCACTTGTGTTTCCTCTCTCACTGTGTCTCTCTCTGTCAAATAAATAAAATCTTTAAAAAAATAAAGAAATAAATAATGAACCTAAATAGCGTATTCTCCCCCAAATTGTTATCACACTTCTGATCTTACAGTGGCCTCCACTTTCTCTTCACACTCAGTTCCAAGGTGGTGATCTAGTCTAAGGAGCAGTTATCCCTGAATGCAGCCCTCCTGGGGCCGAATTGCCTTGAATCCTATCTCGGAAAATGGGCAGCCATGCAAACAAAACCAAAACAGACAGAAAGCACTGCTTGACCTGACATCTTAAAGGAATAAAAACCCAATTACATTTTCATGGAAGTATCCGTGAAACCACCAAAAAAAGATTCTAATCAAAACATACGGCAAAACTCAAAAATCTTCTTTCCCTCTAAATACCTGTGATAGCATTGTAGCTGCCTCTCCCACTGTCATTCTTTCTCCTCCTTATCTCCAAACACCCCCAGACTCTCTAAAAGCCCAGCCCCTCGCCCTTTGTCTCTCTCCCTTTGCCCTCACCTTTCCGCGTGGTGCCTCCAGTTTCTCCCCACCCATTTCTCTCATCAACACAACCATAGGCCACACCTGTTTGATTCCCAAGGGTCCTTCTTAGAAGCCATGGAGGGAAGGTGGCTATGGCCCTTCAGAAATTGATTTTTTGTCCCAATTCTGTGATAAAATTTATGTTTCATCGTAGTGATCCCTCTCCTATGTTACAGAATGCAGAACTATCTCAATGGGACAAGGACAAGAGGTACATGCTCGAAAGCTGATTCAGATGTCCATGCAGCAGGTAGGTAGCTAGTGCTAGTGTATCATTCTTCCTATTAGCGTTCTGGCCATCAGGTCTACCTTGGACCACCACAGTGGTGGCTGAAGCATTCTGCCTCGGATGCTCCATCATCAGTTTTCCATTACTTTAATGGATGCATAGTTAACCTTTGATTACCAATGAATATTAAACCTCAAGCTGGTTTGCTCCTGACATCCCCACAGAAAGCTTGTTTTATTTTCCATAGTATAAGCTCCATCTTATTTTCACTAAATATATATATATATATTTTTTTACAATTAGGCAGACACACTCCCTGGTTTCTAAGAATGCAGCTCTAGCTAGAATTTCACAATCAATATTAATAGATAGTGCTTAAGAAGTGACAGACCAAGACAGTTAAATCTCAATTTTTGGTTAAAGTCAGACTTCTTTTTTTTCATTAATGCGTAGTTTCAGACAAATAAGAAATATTTGAGGATGTTATGCTTAAATACTGATAATGGTTTTTATTGAAAATTGCAAGCTGGATGGAATGCTGAGAAATGTTTTCCATCACACCTAATAAATACACAGAACATTAATTTTCTAGAGATGCTTGGTAGATAGCAATTTCAGCTATGATAGGAAACCACACCTCTTATAAAAACAAAGTAAGATCTCAGTTTATTTTTAAGCTTTTGATCTCATAAGGTCTGTAGCAACTTTGGTGCAGTTTTTCCTTGGGAATTAATGACCAGAGAGGGTTAATGAGCTAAGTCTCTGCTTGGTCCATCAAATTTTCAAGTTAGTCATTAATTTTCAAGCGCCTGAAGCCTTTATCTTTATCACTTAATTATATTCAATATATAACAATAATATATTGTTATCTAATTTATATATATCAAGGCAATTACATATAATTATTTTTACTCAGATCAAATGATTCTCCATTGAGTGATTTGACAGTTTAACTTTGGACCTTAAATAATTTCTTTAGTTTCCACGAATGGGAAACTTTTAAATTTCAGTACTGCATTCACACTAACCTTCTTTGGAATATTAGCTTTTATAAGTTCCATGTTCTGTTTCTTAAGGTGGGATAAATATTGGTAACAATGACATTATGAGGGAAAAAAAAAAAAAAAACCAACAGCCCAGGAATAGGTGCAGCCACTTTGCCACGCGAGGGACACCAGATTTAGGATGAAGCTGACATTGTTGAACAAAATGGGGAACGAGCGAGTAACTGGATCCATGATGGCACCAACTAACTTAACTGTGAGGTCCATCCTCCTCTGCCACCCCAGTTGTCTAGGCCAACATGTCCGCTTTGCTCTTTAAGCCAGTCTGAGTTGTATTTTCCCTCACAGTAGAAGGCATAATACACAAACCGTATATTTACTGTGCTCCGTATTTTGTAGCTGTATTGATCTGATCTCGTTAATAGAAGGGTATCAAAATGTTGTCTGATTAAACTATGTTCTCATAGAACAGTGATGGTTCTGTGACTTATATATTGCTAAAGATAGCTTTATCAAGTATTAAAATAGTGCTTAGTAAGTTTTGTGGTTTCGAGACTATATGGGAAGAGTGATGACAAAGAGTAAGGTTTAGTATTCTGGTAGCCCAAGTCACCAAATGTATCGTCTCCAACTTTCAGGAGATAATGTGCATGTCTCTTTGTGTCTATGGATGATTTGGTTTGGGGGTGAGTCAGTTCTGATTCACTTTAGGACAAGCTTTTACAAATTCCAAAATACCCATTCCCACCATTAGATGGTGCACGTGCTGTACTTACACAAGACTTCAAGTTTTAATTTCTGTTTCCTTCTGAACCAGAGATGGCAGAGTACAATCGTTTTGAACCCACTTGATTCCAGTCTTACCAGTAGCAGAAGAAATGTTTGTATTGACGTATAATCATTTCATTAAAATCAGGTGCTCAAAACAGAGTATTTACATGCCCTAAGCAAAGGTGTTTTTTTTTTTAATTATACATTTTGTTTTTTTAAATCATGGCAAAAAAATTACAAGAAATTAATATGAAATCATTTTTGAATACAGGGTGGCTGGGTATTACTGCAAAATTGTCACCTTGGCCTAGAATTCATGGAAGAATTGCTAGAGACATTAATTACCACTGAAGCCAATGATGACTCCTTCCGAGTGTGGATAACTACTGAGCCCCATGATCGATTTCCAATCACATTGCTTCAGGTTTGTTACTATGACATAAGTGTCTTTCCTCGAGAGTTATTTGAATAAAGATGGCATAGTGACATTATTGAAAGATGGAAAACATGACAGGGCTTTCAATCCAGCAGAATCTGCAAGATCTTATAATTGTCAAGGTCTTGACTATAATCATCAATATTATATAGCAAATATTTCTGCAGAAGAGTTCTAAGACTCAGTCCTAATTTATGGGGTTTCAGCTATGATTGATGTCATTAGTTTAGAATTTCCACTGACATTTTATGTACCATACGCACACCGTTATCTGAGGTATTGTCATTTCTACTTTATCCTTTACAATAATTTACAGAAACAAAACTACTGTTTGCTTTTTATGACAGACTTCTCTCAAATTCACTAATGAGCCACCACAAGGCGTACGCGCAGGTTTGAAAAGAACATTTGCTGGAATTAATCAAGACCTTCTGGATATCAGTAATTTACCCATGTGGAAGCCCATGCTTTACACAGTAGCGTTTTTACACTCCACCGTGCAGGTAACTTCTGGGCGCAGTTTGCACATTTAAGGGGATGTTAGTGATGCCCTGTTGTTTCTCTGCTGCACTATCTGCTCTCCTTGCCCTGCTTTTTTCCTCCTTCATGGCACTTTGCCCCACCTGGCTTAGTATATATTCGTCTGTGTACTTAACATGTTCCTTGTCCCCGCCCCTCACCCTGGCCATGAGAGTGTAAGACTCTTGAAGACAAAGACTTTGTCTTTTTTGTAACTGCTGAATCCCCTCCAGCATAGCAGCATCTGGGGCATTGCCAGAGCTCAGTAAATATTTGTGAGGTGCACATGGATGATTCAGATAGGAATTTAGTTTTCAAAGTGCCTATGCAGCCAGGAATGGTATGAACACCATCTCATATAATACTCACAACCACATTTCTCAAGGTAGGATTATCACCCTTGTCAAAATGAGGAAATTGATAAGATGTCCAGATGAATAAATAAATGAATGAAGATGGTAGTACTTTTAAGTAGACACTAAAACAGGAGCATCAACTATATGCTAAATGCTTTTCATAGATTATTTAACCAGTCTGACTTTGAAGCCTGTGATTTTCTTCAAATTCTCAGGAATTTACTATCCCTTGGACTGTCTCAAATAATAGGAGAACTTTGTTAAACTAGACACAGGGACAACAGAGCCCCAGTCCAGCTGTGGGTCCATCCCCCCATCTCTTCAGTGTGTGAAAATAAATTAATTGCACCTCAGGAAAAATAGAATAAAATAAAAATGAGGAAATTGAGGCTCAGAGAGGTTAAGTTCATTGGCGGTAGATCTAGGGGTCAAGCCTGACACTTCTGCCTCACACGGAAGTATGTTTTGAGCCCACCAGTGAAGGTGGTGCTGATATTGGGAGGAACAGTGGTTATCTGTCATTTCCAGGTTGTTTGTGATTTGCTTTTGCTATACACTTATATATTAATATAGTAATTTTATGGCTTCACAACCACTTGTCTGTGGGATATTCTCATTTTGTTATTGCTCTGTTCTACATTTGATTTTATATTTTGGTCTGTATTTCAAAGCTGTATAAATTTAACATACTTGATTCACTCCTTGACTTCAGAGAGAGAGATGAACAGGCTCCTTTAACCATTTCCACATTTCTTCCTTCGCTGAGGCTGGAGTGAGAAAGGAATGAATGACGTGGCTTGTGCCAGGAGCCATGGTTTAGCTATGCACAGTGGCACGGAGAGCTTCACCTCCTCTCTCCCCAACCTGCCCAAAGGGGGAGGGGAATTTGGTGCTCATCCCAGAACATCCTGGGCGTATTTATCCTCAGGTTCCTTGTCCCTGCCACTTTACCAGGATCCTTGCTACCCAGCAGGGAGGGCTGCGTAGAGGAGACAATTGTGCATCTCCTGCCTGTTGGTCCCCTAACCCTGAGAGAGTTAAAATCAGGTTAAACATGTTGTGGGTGGTTCTTTTTACTAAGTCCGATTGTGGCCTTTGGATTGTAAATTATAGCTTTCAAGTCACTGAAACCTATTTCACACATTCTTATCTGGGAATTGTTTGCTTTGCTAGGCCTTATCATACTCTAATACAAATATTACTTTAACTCTGTTATTTAATTCCCAATTCACAAATAATAATATTTTATGATTCTGTTCCCAGTAGTGATGATTCAACTCTTCCACCGGGCTTATCATGGGGAGATGATTGGGGGATTTTCCATATGGTCAGTGCAGCAACCTGTGTTTTTGTGGCCATTATCCAAGTGCTACACAGAAGGACAACAGCAGGGCCATGGGCCAGTCATGGGGCTAAGGTGTGCTTGCACTTGACATGACATGTATTTGGGTTCAAACAGAAAAAGCCTCCATTGCTAGGAGATTGAATGTCTAGGAGGTTAAATCCAGTCATAGTGTGCTGGAAAGAGCACCTCATTGAGGACCAGGAGGCTGGGACATTAGACTCACTGTGAAATCAATTAGCTGTGTGAGGATCATCAAGTTATGTCCCTCTTGGGACCTCTGTTTCCCCATCTGTGTGTTTAGAGGCAGAAGGAGGTGAGCCTTCAAGTTTTTCCCATTTCTAAAACCCTGTTATCAAGTTCTATGACTACCCAGGGAGCATAGATAATTCAAGCATGGCTTCCTCTGTCCTGTTTTCATCACTAGCAGAAATATTTACTATGATAGCACCTAAATATTTTCTTTTACTTGTTAGGATAGAGCTGGCTTGAAAGGAAAATGCAGAATTCTTGAGGGGCCTGTGGTCCTGGGCCAGCAGCATCCACATGGCCCGGGAGCTTGTAAGAACTGTGTCTCAGGCCCCACCCCAGACCTGCTGAATCAGAATCTGCATTGTAATAAGATGCCCAAGTGACTCCTGTGTGTATTAAAGTTTAAAGTGCAGCCACTACTAGAAGGACAATTCTGGGTTTGATTGATTGTGACTTAGATTTCTCTAGTGTTGGACACAATAGCCAAACACTTGATTTGTTAACTGATTGATCGACTTCTCCAAATTTAACCTAGATATCGCTTGCTCTATGCAAATATGAGGTATATGCATTTGTCCTTGCAGAGACAGACAAAAAGAACAGGGAATTGGTTCATGTCACATAATCTGAAGCTTCAGGCCTGGGAGGAGTTCATGCTGGAGCCCATCACCCCTCAGAATACAGAACCTGATAGTGAAATAGAGGTCAAATGGGAGAGCTGTGTGACCTCCATGTAGTTCGCTTACTGAATTGTGGTTTGGCCTCATGCCATCAACTTATCCCTGCTCAAGGGCATCATGTGTTATGTGAACCTCACTCATTGTTACAGAGAACAAAATGAACACCCTTCCCCCCTCCCCCCATAAGAAGGGGAAGTAGACTTGGCTGGTCAAGGACAAGTGTCTTGGGTGGTATAGTGAAGGGTGTGGTTTGTTTTGTGGTTGAGGTAGGAACAGACTTACCCAGTAGAAGGGGGCCCTGGGTGCTTCCATGGGAACCTGCAGAGATACACAAGCCAATTCTGCACTGAGTTCTTCTTGCCCCAGACTCCCCTGGGCTTCCCTCCCCTCTCCACCAGGAACTTACCATCCACAGAGGCCAGGAAGTTACTGCAGCAACAGAGCTCTTACTGCAATTGGGTGATGTCTCTGCCCTAGCCAGCCAGCCCTCCTGCCCTCCCCATGGGAGACCACCACCATCCCCAGCATCCTAGTGGATGCCTTGGCTCCATTTGGCCACTAATCCCTGAGGACATTTCCACATCCTCTTGGAGGTTACTCTCAGTGGGATCTTCCCTCTGGCCTTAATATCATTTCTCTATGGTTTCCCAGAAATTCCAGTGCAGCACCATTCTGGGTTTCAGAGCAAGGCTACATTCATCCTTCAGAATCTTAATTTTAAATGTATCTTCCTCCAAAGTCTTGGTCTTTTGAAACTCAATAATTACATTGTGGTGTCCTCCCAATACCTCCTGCAGAAAGTCAGAATAGCATTTTCTGGTGGTCGGTGTACCATCCTTTGATGGTCAATGTACCATCCTTTGTTTGAACAGTACATTGGACCCAGTAAATGTCTAATGCAATGGTTCTCAGTCATTGCCTGAGCCCCCAAATCCCTGGGAGGAGGCGGCAAGGTGAGGTGTTCAGTCCTAAAAACTTCAAGTGATTCTAATACACAACAAGAATTGAGAATAACTGCCAAATATCCATTGCCCTTAAGACAGGAGTCCTTCATCACTTTTATGTCCTTTCCATGGTTTGGAATTTTTCTCCTCATCACCTTGGCTTGCCAACATTGAGGCGTACTTTTTGGGACTTTTCTAATGGTTTACGTACAAGTCTATGAGGTTTTTTGCTAGTCATTGATTAGGAGCTTTCGGGTCTTGCAGTGGCAGTTGTAGACTTGGATGTTTTATCTTGGCCCTTAAAGATAATTAAATATTAAATAAAAATGGCCATATCAAACAGGATCCAGGTCTGTGTTGGGCTATGGGAGGTGGGTTCATTGGGCTGAGGTAGAATCTAACATAAAATTGGAAATGGCTTTGGCATCATTAAGATGATGACTCAGTTGAGCAGCTTGTCTTCAACATCCAAAGGAGGATTCCAAGTTTTCCATATTTCACTAGCAGTTCTCTGTTTTGTAGATTCTTTGGTATACAAAGAAGGAACCATATTGGTCAAATTCAGTAAAGAGTAGACTAGTCTTCCTAAAATCACCATTCTCCAACTTAATAATGAATAATAACTCCCTTCTGTTGAATCAGGTTTTAGCTCTTTATCCTGACATTCAAATCTGTCTATGTTCTACCTCTGAATCATCATGTGAGCATGTAGTTCTAGCTACTCACCCAAGGTCACTCTCTGCTGCAGTAAAACCACTTACCTGCAGCCCCCTGCTAGATGAATCAGGAGCTTGGTGTTCCTATCTTTGCTCATGGCCTTCGCCAAGCCCGGAAGTCTTTTTTCCCTTCTTTTCAAAGACCAGCTTCAGTTTCATTCTTCCCAGAAGCCTCTGATTGAATGTCTTCTTCAGGCTTATCATTTGTTACATTTTGACAGTTAATTATAGTCACCATCACATTGTCCTTTCCTTGTTTCCAAGTCTTATTTTCTCAACTAGATTGAAACTTCTTGAAAATACATTGATTTTAATGTTTTTCCATTGTCTCACATAGGACTCATCCATAGTTTCAAAAATACTATTTGGACTGAAGAAATTCAGTATTCCAAATTTTCCAAATCTAGCAAAGCCCCCTGCTTTTGAGCTTCCAAATGAGTTATTAGTTCTTCTCCCGATGGTTTGAATCTATTCTGATAGTATTCCAAGGTGATAATTCAGGGTTCTTTATTTCCTGTCACTTAGAGAGATCAGTGAGTACCAAAAAAAGTTGCAAGAAAATGAAATGACTTCATTTGTGAAAGAAAAGTCACCCCCCCAAGATTTTGTCTTTTTTTTCCAAGATAAGGTGAACAGTCTATAACTTTAGTGAACCAACCTAAAAAGTAAATGCTTTAAATGAAATTTGATAGTAAACAGCATAAAGTGAAACAAATCTCAGCATTATAGCAATTTTTTTTGTCTTTGTTTTTTTAGATTTTATTTATTTATTTGACAGAGAGAGAGACAGCCAGAGGGAACACAAGCAGGGGGAGTGGGAGAGGGAGAAGCAGGCTTCCCGCGGAGCAGGGAGCCCGATGCGGGGCTCGATCCCAGGACCCTGGCATCATGACCTGAGCCGAAGGCAGGCGCTTAACGACTGAGCCACCCAGGCGCCCCCAGCATTATAGCAATTTTTAAAGATCATATTTTAAGGAGCAATGGAATTGCAATGACTCAGTGCGTGTAAATGGAAGTGTTTCCATAGAGCCAATTTAAGCAGTTTTAGTAATTGGAAAGGAAGAATTATTTTTCATTCAGTCTCCTGTCTAATTGAACAGTAAATTTCAAAAATTAAGTCAAACATAGGTGAAACTATTTTAGAGTTGATTCTCTTTTTTAAAAAACAATGGGAAAACATTTTCATTTCACCAATAAGTGGTTAGCTTTCTTCTTTTTGAAGGCTTCAAGATGGAAGAAATTCCAGAGGCTCAAGGTTTAGCTAAACCTGAATGCATTTTCATGTTAATATTGCATAGAGTCTCCCAACTCACTCTTGCTCTAAAATAACCTGGAGGAGGCTCACCTCAATGTTTCTGGGATCCACTCAAAAAATTCTTTTGAATTTCTGTCTCAGCCTCAGAAATCACCCCCAAGAGGGTGAGGAGAATGCCTTTCATTCTGATAATAATCAACAATCAATCTAGTGTTTATTATACAATCATAATCCTTTTCCCAAAAAAGGTGCAAAAGGGGAGACAAAAATGGGAGACATGTTTCTCACCATTAAGGTTCAAAATCTGGTTACAGAACCAAATATTTCAACATGAAACAATTAAAAAAAAACCACGTCATGGCAACATAAATGTTGAGAACAGGAAGCAGAAAGACATCAAGAGAAGTTGACACATTTAAGAGCTGGGGTTCTCCCTCATGCACCGGGGATGATACCACGTCTCTCCATCTGTTGAGGCACCTCTGCTCCTTCTCACCTTCTCTATGTTCAAGGTGGAAGATGGTGCTTCACAGCTGCCAAGTTTTTAAGTCTCCCTGGTTTAAGCTCTAACTCGGATAAATTCTAGAGAACAATTCTGAGCTCTAAGTTCAAATTCCTGGGAGGAGGAATCTGGTTGGCTTTTCTTGGGCTGGCTGTCCATCTTCTATCTAATTAGCTAAGGGATGAGGGTGGGAGTCACACCATACAAATGTCTAATACCTGACAACCTAACCTAAAGAAGTACCCATCTAGAAATAATGTTGGTAGTTTACATTTTTAAGAGTTGTTTGTTTGCCCTCAGTCTTGTTAAAAAAGGAGACAACAGACCCAGAATGGAGTTACTTGTGCTAAGCCCACATCGCCAAACTGAAACCAATACGTAACCTAACTGCAATTTCAACCTTCTCTAGGAATGTAATTTTAACTGGTTAGTCTGGAATTTCCTGGTCAGCACTAGTGAGGTAATCCCTTAATAAACCCCTTTTCTCATCCAAAGGAAGGTCACTTTGCCCAAAATAATTCTTTTCCTTATTTATGACTTCCTTGTGCCATCCCCTCTCTGCCTTTAAAAACCGTTCCTTTTCTGTAGCTCTTTGGGGCTCCTTCCTATTTGCTAAGTGGGATGCTGCCTGATTTCATCAATCGTTCAATAAAGCCATGGAGATCTTTAAGATTTACTTGGTTGAATTTTTATTTAACAGTCTGATCTCCCAGGGTCAGGAATCTGGACCCATATTACCCAAATTAATTTTCATGGTTTACTTAATATTTTAAAAGCACAGTCTGAAAATCAGTAATTAAACCTTCTTGCTTTCTGAATTTTTTTCTCTGACCCGTCTGAATTTGTCTAAACTAAAATTCATTTAGATTCCTTAAATGGTGGTATTAATTAGGATCTAAAGCATGGAGCAGCTATAGTAAGAAGTATTGGAATGACCTGTGAAAACAGCATGTGAGTGTGTGTGTGTGTGTGTGTGTGTGTGTGAAGGCAGAAGAGAGAAAGAAAAGTTAGTATATATTTAGAGGTAGAGAAGTAGAATTATATCTTTCTATAAATGTTTTGGGATTCTATTCTCCCCATGAATTCTCACCTCAATCACTAGGGTCAAAGGGCTAGGAGCTAACCCAAATAAATAATTGGACCTCCCTTAGAGACTGGTTGTGCGCCGAGGCAGAGAAAGCTGATTGTATAGTGATATTTGAGTTAACTTATGTGGTTTGCTAGGTGATCAGAGCCTGGAAGTACCAGTTCTAACATGGTCTCCAGAATATTGAGGCAACTGAATCATTTGATCTGAGCCCCTTTGGATTGCTTATGGGCAATTTGGCAATTCAAAACAGTTAGCCACTGTTCCATAGGAGAGAACAAATGAGGGCAATGTGAAAGTTTTAAGAAGGATGTGTCATGTTTCACCATAGAGATCTGGGGTTTTCTAAGTCTGAAATTGCAAGATTACAAAGTGAAACTAGCAGGGGGTCTAAATGCTCTCAAGTACTTAAGTTATTCAACTGGAAAAACAAAAATTTAAACCCTTACATTTAACATTTGAAATGTTTAAGAGTCCAATTTAGTATAAATGAATTCTTTTAACAGACATTTATTGAGCACCTACTGCATTTTTTTGAATTGGCAATGGAAACCTAGACTTTTTTTTAAAGCCCCCAAACTCCAATTTGGCAAATATTTGAGGATTTGTTCTTTTTTTAATGATTTTTATTTATTTATTTTTGCAGGATAGAGAAAGCACGCACATGTGCACATGAGTGGGGTGGGGGGTGGGAGGGTAGAGGGAGAAGCGGACTCCCCGATGAGCAGAGAGCCCGATGCGGGACTCGGACTCGATCCCAGGACCTTGGGATCATAACCTGAGCAGAAGGCAGACACTTAACCGACTGAGCACCCAGGCGCCTGAGGATATGTTCTTGTAAACCATCTGGCCATAGAGCCATAAAATAGTATTTCTAGTGGTTAATATATCCAAAATTGTATACTGTTCTTTTATGACATCAACTTATCTCTGTATCATGCTTTAATTTTCCTGTATTTTATGTTTTAATAATAATAAGAGAAATCAGCTGCATTCAATTTTAAAAATCTCACTTATTTTCCTTGGTGTTGTTAAGGAGCGACGCAAATTTGGTCCCTTAGGATGGAATATTCCCTATGAATTCAATTCTGCTGACTTTGCAGCCAGTGTCCAGTTCATTCAGAATCACCTTGATGAATGTGATATTAAAAAAGTGAGTGAAATTGTTATTTTTCCCCATTTTTATTGTCCTCAAATCAAGGTTCTACAGACATTTTCAGCCTATAATACACAGTTGAACCTGCTGAGGTTTCCCCTACCTCCCCCCAAAGGGACTGCTCATTCTAATCCATTGTTCACTGGTCCAGCCGTTTCCCCTCACACCCCTACTGCCCCTAGGAGTGTGTTTGGACCCTAATCTCAGACTTGTGTTCCCCACTCTTGTCTCTCTCCTGTGCACATACAGCAGAGACAGACCACAAATGATGCAACTCATTGTGTGCAGAAACTCCACAACCTTCCTCATATCCCACCTAACTGCCCCCAGTGCACTTCAAGAGAATGTACACCTGAAATCAGACCTTTTCTTCCAGCATCTCATTGATGCCTCTTCAGAAGTGAAAATGTTATCTCAGCCCACACAAGAGTTCTTTCTCAGCTTTAGTCACATCTTAACAGATGTTTAAACTTACACAAATAGATGGCAATAATTTCTAATGATAGTCACTGCATTTCACAGTTCTCAAAGTGCTCATGCATGGAGGATCTCACCTGAACCTTCACAACTCTGTGAGGTTGGCACAGAGGGCATTACTGTTATCCCCATTTTACTGATGAGGTAATGGACAAAAGAGAATAAAGGACTTCCTTCAGGTCACAAAGCTAAGAACACAACCCAGTTTTCCCTCCACGTGTGTTAGAAAGGGTTGGAAATCCGTTTTCTCTATGATCTGGAGCAAGTTCATGAGCCTCTCAGAGCCTGTTTCCTCATCTACAAAGCAGTCTGGGTTTCTGTAAGGAATAAGTGAATTAGCATTTGTGAAAGCACAGTATATGGTGCACAATAAGAACTCAATAAATTCCAGTTTCCTACTGTCTCCCCTTCTCTCCTTTCTCATAGTAGATCTTGAAGCTAATTATAGATACTGGAGTATCAGTGTGGTGATGGTAAGCTATGATGAATTTTTATGTGGGCCGCTGGAGGATCTAGAATCAAGCCATTATTTTTCCTTGAAGTTATAAAGGGATATTAAATTGAGTATGACAGCTTGATGAAAAATTACATTGTATGGGTTCATACTCTGTTATTATTTATCATTTTGTATATACAAATAATAGTTAACCTTGAAATAGTTGTTTTGAAAGGCAGTGGAGCTGATGAATCAGAATTTAGCCAAAAGAAAGTAAATTTAAAAAAAATCAAGCATTCTTACTTTTCCTACCCCAAATGTATTGAGTAAAAAAAAAAAAAAACTATTAATATTTGTAATGTATTGCTAGGATAAGATTGCTATGGAAATTAATAAATACTTTGATTTAGTTATAGCTCACAGAATGAGACAGCAAAGGATTGCATTGTAGAAAAATGTTGTGAATGAATAATTTTCTGGTTGTTCTCATACTGATTCAGAAAATATATAACTAAGAAAGCATATTAAACCGTTGATTACTTGATTTTTTTCCCCTTTCTTCACTAAACATGACTTTTTTCTAACAGCTTGGCATTACTATAATGAGTATTATAGATGATTACATCCACAGAGTGAAAAAATAGTCTCCCCCCCATTTTAAATGATCAATGAGTAATATATTCACTTGATATTTAGTATTGTAGATTTTTCTTTGGTGACCAAACCCTGGCAGTTTCAGTCATGTAATAGCAAAAGAGCTACTAAGAGAAGATTATGAGTCATTTTAAATGTGATCTAGTTCGTGCTTCCTTTTTGAGACGTTTTCTCCAGGGAAAGACCTGAAATGTTCAGAGTTTCTTGTTTGGATTGATAATGAATAATCTCTTGTATTTTTAATAAAGGGTGTATCATGGAGTACTGTTCGGTACATGATTGGAGAAGTTCAATATGGAGGCCGAGTGACAGATGACTTTGATAAACGTCTACTTAATTGCTTTGCTAGAGTAAGTCAATTTACAGAAAAAGCTTGGGACACATTTCATTGCATTTTCCTTTTAAACAAGAATTTTTGTTTGTTTGTAAATCAGTGAGCCAAACTTAAGGGGGAGGAAACCCAGAGAGCATAACTGCTGAAAAGAAACAGCAAACAAAACCCAAACCCAAACTAAAGCCAAAGCCAAACCAATTAGCTATCTTGCTTGTGGTCCAGAACACAATAGCAGTCAACTTTCAGTGGTCTGTAAATTTTCCCCTGTATAAATGAATTGCTTATTTTCAGGGTCTCTCCCCACTACCCCTCCTCCATGAAAACATGACAATTTATTTGCTACTTCCTCTGAGTGCAAGTCTCACGAAGATTTCAAACCCCCAAATAAGTGACTGGAGAATTAACCGTAATTCGAGTATTCTCATCTTTTCCATTAGGACAATTGAAAGTTGATGGAGTGTTCATTTTTCCCTCTGTGCCCGGTAAAATCTACATACATCACATTGGCAAACATTTTCTAGAGAAAATTATTCCTTAACAATTACAGTGTTCACATCAGTGATAAATTGTATAAATATATGTACCAGACTCAAACTCTTCTTAAAATTTTTACATGTTAAAGAAGCAATATACATTACCTAAGTGGGAAAAATCAGATTTATGAGTATTTTATGGTTATTTGAATTCTTTATAGTAGGATCTATATTGGTAATTCTCTGTTTCAATGATTTTTTTTCCCCTTAACAAAAACAGCAAAGCATAAACTTTGGGGGTATTTTGGTAAATTGGAGGTTGACCAGGAATCTGATTTTTCTTTCAATTCTTATTTATTTTTGCAAGTTTTTCTTAATGCCATATGTGGAGAAAGGTGGATGGTGATAATTGTTGTGTGGAGGTGGGAGCCTGGCTGCTGGAGATTAAGTCAGTACAGACCTTCTAGAAAGCAACTGGGCAAAACTTACTGAAATTAAGTATTCAGGTAGACACATACCAGAACATTTCTAGAAAAAATCCACAAATGGACATATACAATAATGTTTATGGCAATATTGTATGTGGAGCTGAAGGTAACCATCATAGGTTGGGCTGCCTGTGGATGCCCCTTCCCCAGGGTACGACCTTGGTTGAGGCAGGCTCCCTTTTACCAGGTCAGTACCTTGGGAGGGACAATGTGATGAGCCCTAGGTAGCCAATCCTCCAGACAGCTGAGGAAGTGAGTGCCTGGGTCCTGAAGAAGGAACTGATGGTGCATTGCAACATCCCCTACAAATGCCTGAGAATCCTAAGAAATAGTGAATGAGCACAACAGAATACTATTGCTCACCCTTCTAGGGTACAATCTGGTGGCATTTAGTCATATCAAGTGTGTGATACTTTCTGAACCAGACTCCCTGAATATATGTCCCAGAGAAACTCGCAAACTATGGAGATCAGGACTGAATGGGGAAAAACGAAAATAAAAGGGGCCTAGACTCTGGGCACCTGGATGGCTCAGCTGGTCTGACCCTTGATTTCAGCTCAGGTCATGATCTCAGGGTTGTGAGATTGAGCCCCACATTGGGCTCCATGCTGAGCGTGGAGCCTGCTTAAGATTCTCTCTCTCCCTCTCCCTCTGCCCCTCCCCCCTGCTTGCTCTCTTTCTCTCAGAAAAAAGGGGGGCCTAGACTCATGAGAATGATAAAATAAAGAAATATGCTAAACTCACCTCTATATCTGAGGTCTAAAGGAATAAGAAGATGTCTTACATACTGTGTGTTAGAATAATTGCAAAAGTACCTAAAATTGGAGTTTCAGTACTCGAGATTCTGAGAAGTGGTTAGATTTTGCATATATTGTACAGATACTACCAGCAGAATGCTGATGGTGAAAGATGAGGGGGTCAAGAATCACTCCTAGCTTTGACTTAAACAACTGGGTAGAGAATAGGACTATTTACAGAGGAGAAGGGCTACAGAAGGAATGAGTTTTATTGGCTGGGGCCAGAAATTAGAAGTTCTGTTCTGATCATGTAACTTTTGAGATGCCCACTAGACACCCAAATGGAGTTGTCTAACACTGAAGTTCCCTAAAGGCAGGGACTTTGCCTGATTACATCACTGCCAGATTCCCAGCATGCAGAGCAGAACCTAGAACATACTACATGCTCAATAAATATTTGTTGAATAAGAGAAGGAAGAAAGGTAAACAAGGCAGTTGGATTTACAGGTCTGGAGCTCAGGAGAGAGGTCAGGGCTAGAGAAAAAGTGTTGGAATTTGTCAGCATATAGATGGCATTTGAAGTCAAGATAATGGATGAGAGCATCATCTAAGAAGAAAGTGTAGAGAAAGAAAACAAGCTAAAGACAGGGCTTTGAGTATTTTAATGTATCAGGAAAGAAGAAATGGTCAACAGAGAGGTCAAGGAAGATGAGGAAAGGGACTTTACCTGTACTTAGTATTTGCCTGATAGATCTTTAAAAAATATTAAATCTTTAAGAAATATTAAATATACAGAAAAGTGTATAAAACATAAACATACAGTTTACTGTCTCTTCAAATAGACATAGAATATTTCCAGCTCTCCCAAAGACTCACGCATGTCCCTTCTCCATCACAACCCCCCATTCCCTCAAGGTAACCACAATTCTGACTTATACAAACTGTTTCTTTCTCATTATACTTTTACCATCTAAGTAAGTACTCCTTATTAACATAGTTCAATTTTGCCTGTTTTTGAACTTCATATAAATAGAACCATAGAGTATGTTCTCCTTTTGGTGTCTGGCTTCTTTTTCTCAATACGGTATTTTGAGATTCACCCATGTTGTGTGTATTCTACTCGTTATCCTTTCCTGTGTTGGGTTCCGTTGTATTGTATTGGTGGAAATTAGGATTGTTTCCATTTGGAGCTATTACAAATAATGCATCTGGAGACAGTCTTGTACAAAGTTCTTGGAGCACATGAATATGCCTTTCTAATAGGAGCGGAATTGCTAGGTTATAGGGTTTGCATACTTTCCATTTTAGTCGATCACATCAACCTGGTTTCCAAAGAGTTGTTCCAAGAATACATCCAGCAGAAGAATGAGATATCTCATTTCACCACATCCTCACCAACACTGGGCATCATTAGTCTCTTAAATGTTAGCCATTCTGGTGGATATATAATGGTATCTCACTCTGGTTTTAATTTTTATTTCTCTGAATGCTAATGGACTTGAGCACCCTCATATGTTGATTCACTGTTTTAGTTTTCTCCTTTGTGACTTGCTTGTATGTTCTTGCTTCTGTTTCTCTCAAGTTATGCATCTTTTTAAAATATTGATTTACAGGAGCTTTTTGCATATTCTGGATGTAATTTCTTTGTTGATTATGTGGTTGTAAATTTCTTTTCCCACTCTGAGCCTTGCCTCTTCACTCTTGTATTAGTCTTTTAATGATTAGAAATACTTAATTTCAGTATACCTGGTATATATTTTTCTATTCCTTTTATTTCAACTTTTCTGTGTCATTATGTTTCAGATTTATCTCTTATAAACAACAAATAGCAGGAATTTTTAGTATCTACTCTGAAGCTCTCTGTATTTTAATAGGCAAATTAATCATTTTATTGTTGTGATTACTGCTATGTTTTGACTTATTCTACCATCTTATTTTGTGGGTTTCATTAGCCATACCTTTTTTTGGCCTTTTTTTCTTCTTTCCTGCTTTTAAAAAAAAATTTTTTTTATCTTTCTGTATTGGTGAAATCTACCCTACATTTTAGGTTTTACCTTCGAGCCCTTCTGACTTGTATCTTCCATATTAAACTCTGTGGAGTATTTTGGCTCCTCCTCATTTTTATTCCCATCCCTGTTACTCATTATGATAATTTTACAACCAGTGCTGATTTAGATTTACCAATATGTGTACTGGCTATTAGAAGGAGGGCAGCCCATTCCTTATGATGGGGGAAGCCTAGGAAACCTATGGGTGGCAGAAACAGGGAGGTTTGGTGGGGGAAGATGGGGTTGTTTTCTTCTAATTGTATCTATCTTCAGAGTGAAATAAGAAGCATCATCAGTTAAGGGGATGCAGGTCATCAGCTGAGGGGAGGGGATGGCAAGTTTGGGACATTTGAGGAAAGGGGAAGAGATGTGAAATAGTTGCCTTGGAGAGTGGGAAAGGGAAATATGTGATCCTAATACATACACTCGTCCTCCCCCACGAAATTGTAAGGCCATTAAAATAAGAAACAGGTCATCTAAGTCTCTGTGTCCTTTCTAGCACCTAGGATACACTCAATACATGTTTGTTGATGATAATAAACATAATTTAATCTCAGCAGATTGAATTTTATGTGCCTGGAGTCATAGTCGTCTAAGAGTAGACTGTATTGAATTTTTACTGAATTTTACTTTACCCAGAGCACAACCTAAAAATCAGGTATACTTTTTTTTTTAACAACATTTTATATTAGCTTAAAAAAATTGCTTAGACTTTTTCTAAGAAGTAGAGTTCAAGGAGAGTCCTGATTAACCAACTCCCTTAGTCGGTTTGTCTTTGTTTTATTGAAACTGCCTTACTTAAAGGTGGCAGGAACACTGCAGTTTGCTGGCAAACTGAAGGGGATTTCTAAGAGACCTCTTTGCCCTCCACATCAGAACAAAATGGGCTCTCTGGATCACAGCTCAAAGCTGCTTGTGGGCAAAGGGAGGGAGAGGAAGAGAGCCTGTTGCTCAAACTGTGGCACCTTCAAGACCTCCAGGTGGACAGTTCCTGCCTCTGACCTGAATCTGTCTTCCCCCTCTTCTACTTCTCTATTCCTGCCCTACACTGCCCCCTCCCCCCACCCCTATATTCAGGGCAATAGAATAGTCAGCAGACCCCAACCCCCTCTCAGAAGGCTACAATTCTCCATCCTCTGGGCCTGGGCCCCACCTGGGGGAAGCCCATCTGGGATTTAATCACTGCCCTAAATGAAAAGTTCATCCTACCATTGCCCATCCTTTTGCTCCTGGGCAGCTTATCCACCCATCATTCCCTGCCCCCCCCCCAGCCCCCACTTCTTTCTCTCTGTCTC